CAGAAGGACCACGAGAACGAGAAGCTTTGGTGCCCGGCCCGACGCCCTACGACGAGGAGTTCGGGACAAGCTGTAACCTGCTCGCAGCCAAACATGTGGATTACTTCAATCTGGCCGGCACTGAGGACACCGTCGACAAGCGCGTCGAGTACGTCGAGGATACTTTTGGCAAGTGCAAACTTTACAAACGTACATCTACCATGTCTGTTGCGAGGTACACAAAGGACGGGGGCGGCAATGCTACGCTGAACCAAGATGAATACATCAAAAAGCTCCGTCCTATACAACATTGTGAACTCACAGGCGCAGACGCTGACTCCAACGCATCCAAGATGGTTGCTGACAGGTTCGCCAGCCTCAGAGGCGCGTTGGCTTACGCATTAATCGCGCAAGTGTGGTTGACGGTATATGTGGACTCTCTACAACGCGCCCAAGAACCGACCTATATACAAGTGCGACGACTGAACGCGATTACCAAGAAGTTGCAGGCCTGCCCCAAGAAGATCATCTATTGATCGATGACTCCAACGGGCGAAGTTGACCTGCGCAGCGACTCCGGCTATCGACTCCTGAGTGGAGATGCCGATGGCGAGGTCGAAGGCTACGGTATTCGCGGGGCAAACTTGCTACGGCGTGGAAACCCGCCATCCGGTAAGCCCGTCGTCCACTCGATCGATGCGCACTGCAAGTCGCATCGCTTGCAGGTCCGCTCAAGCTACTCAGCAGAAACACTAGCAGAAACCCACAATCTGGAGGACTGCAATCCCACGATCGTAACTCTGCACGAACTCCATGCAGGACCACTGACACCCACCCAGTTCAAAAATATACTGGACAGGTCATGGGTTGCGCGCGATCCTTCAAGCATGACTTAACACGTCATACTCCTTATCGGGCTGGCCAGACAGCATCGTCTGAGGCCGCCTGAGGAGTAATCGTTTGCACAGCAATCCGCTCGCAAGACAACTCGCTTGCGGGTTCACCTTCCTTTCGAATCCGCCTTTTGCTGCCTTTTGTGTAGATAGTGTTTGTTGCACATGGGGCGGGGGGCTCACGTTTCGCCCCCCTTCCCCCCCGACTCTAAAGTGAGCTGGGACAAGGGTGAGAGATAGCGCGCGTTTGTCCGCGGCCGTTTGTGTTCAAGCGGGCAGCCGCCAACATATGTCTGCGCCTCATTGCGAGGCATGCTACTTGCCATCGAGACCGCAAACATCCTTCGCTTGAGATGGCCCGTCGCTCACGCGACGACCTCCTCCGACCGGGACTATCGCTACTACGGTACAACAGAGCTGGAACTGCGCTTCGCCTAAGACGAAGGTTGTGGACGGGCCTACTGGCCCCCTTCCAACTATGTCGGTTTTTCTTGGCGGTCTCGTTGGCGTTCCTAGCCTGTGCTGGAAGCCTTGGCGCGCCCCATGGAAGCTTCAGGGCACCAAGAACCCCAGGGTCCATTCCGAGCCGATGATCCTATTTAATTTCGATTCCGGCCTGCCCGACTTGATTCGATTCAAATTTTCTTTCGGTCCGATTCGGCCAGACGCTGCGTCCTGGTGCGGCCGATCCGATTCGATTCCGACTCCGTGCCGATGCGGCCCGATCCGCTTTACAGTCCGATTCGACCCGTTCTCCCTATCTGATGCTGGCTGATCTTACTTTCGGGAGAGGTGGGCGAGGCATGCGCCGCAGCGCGTTGAGCTTTGGCGCCGTCGGTGAACCAATAATATGAGCAACAAACCAAATCCTCCGGCTGGTCCATGATTTTCGTAGTCCTGGAGTCTTGGAGGGCGTATTATCCCTTTTATTGCACATTTTAAGCTTTCGGGAACCTCCATAGCGCTTGTCTGGGGGAGTGAGGAGAGAAGGTGGATTATCCAACGTTTTACAGTGTACAGAACATCTACAAAACACCACGTTGAATCCTACCTCCTACCATGCCTCGACGCGCCAGGGGACACGGCGGCGGATCTCAACTTGTGGGGTTTCTGACCGAAGTACGTTCCTAAGTGTTTAGGTTCCTTCCGAGAGCCCCATCAAGGACTTTCGCTGACGAGTTCGTCCTCTTCAGTCTCCACCGCCGACATGAAATATGCAATCGGTTTGGTCATTTAAGCGAAGTGGGCCAGGATCCATTCAGTATCCACTTCAACGCTTAGATGGCTTCGCACACGGGTTCGGGGCGGATGATACAGCATCCAATGTGCTGTGGTTCTAGGCCTCGACAGCTAAGACCCGAGTTTAGGAGGTCTACACGTGAAACATGTATGTTCATTTGCAGGGCGAACCCTTTCCCCGGAGAGCCCCTCGGCTTCGAATTCCCAATGTTGAGCCGTTCGTGGGAGTGTTTTGGGCCCTTGTGGGGGGGGCCTCGGGGGCCTTCATAGGGGAGTCTTAGGGTCTCTCCGGCCGTATTGGTCGCTCTCAAGGCCGAGAGGCTGATAGTCTTGAAATGAAAACCATGCAAGGATCTACGGTGTCAGAACGAGTTTTGCCTCTGGGCCAGCCCGCACGGGCTTCCAAGCTGGCCCAAGAGGTCCCGAAGAGGGTCTCAGAACATCCCACTGGTCGGCGACTACAAAGGGTGTGGTTTGCGATCGGCGCCGTTGGTGCCTGGAGGGCACGACACTGTCCTCGTCGGGCCTCCTCGGGGCGCGGCGGAGAACTCTATCGAGGCACCCGCCCACCCTCCAGGGGCGCCCCACGGGGTGCCGAATGCAAACCACACCCTTCGCAGACCACACCCTCCGGAGTCGCCGAACCGGGATCGCATCATAACACGCTGGCACTCTGGACTCAAAAACCACGCTCCCGAGGCGTCGGCAAAAAAACGTCCTGCGACGCTCCCTGGGGCTCCCCCTGGGAGCTCGGAGAAACATCCAGAAGTGCCTGGAACTCTGGGACCCGGACTGGGCCCCGGTATCGTAAAACCGATTCGCATCCCCATCCCCATCCCCTTCGAGACCCCCACCAAATTACCACCCCAGTTGGGGATACACCCCTCGAAACCCGAAGGGAACGGCCTATATCCCCATCTAGGGGGGTAAATCGGCCAGTGGGGCCCAGGCCACGCCGCTGAGAATGGGGATCGGATAACCGATAGTCATTCTGAGAGTGTTCACAGCATTCGATTCGAAGAACAGAGGGGCCTTGAGGACACTCCAGTCGATGCCGCGCGGCACGGTGGCGGATCATGGGAATTGCTGTGGTCGGCGTGATCAATGCAGTATGCGGTTGCGCTGCCGCGCAGTCCGCCGCCGCGCTCGGGGAGTCTGCGCGACAAGGCTCCAGCTAGGTACGGGCGTGCTTCGGCGTGGATCTTGCAATGCCTTTCCTGAAGTGGTCGAGAACAACATAACCCATAACCCCAATAAGGCAATGAAGGCAAAACCTGACTTGGGATCCCGACTTTGAGGGCTAATCGAGCTGCGTGGTGTAGTTTGACACATCTGCTGAAAAGATCCCCTATTACTATTGTTTGGGGCTTCTTAACGTAGGTCCGCCCCAAAAGGGTTAGGTGTCCTTTCGTTTCTAATCATCAAGCCGTCTTGCAGTCATCCTTGGGGGGTGTCGGGCCGTTTCGGGGGCTCTCGGGCAGCCTCGAGGTTCTCGCGGGACCACGCTTGGCTTTCTTTGGGGGCTCTTAGGCTTCTCCGATAGTTTCTGGAGGCGGTGTTGAGCTTACAAGTCTCGGAAGCACGTCCGCCGGCCATGTATCTCAACAACAAACACATTCGGATGTACAAATCATTTTGGGGGGGGGGCGCATAGGTTCCATACGTAGTACGGCGCTATCTGGAGTCTCTTGCGAGGCATTGTAGTTAGCGTGCTGCGGCCCTCCCGGACCTCTAGTGGCTCTCTCGGCCTACTTGGAGCTCTCCAGGGCTGTCTTGGGGCGCTCTGGGACCGCCCATGGCTCCTCGAAATCGTCTTGGGGTCCCTTGTGGGCGTCTTTGAGCCGTAGAGATGGTTGTCCATGGCCGTCAGGAGACTTGGACCGTCTTTCGATTACCTTGGGCCGCCTGGGGTCTCGCGCGGGGCCCTCTGAAGCGCACGAAAGCGACAATGGAAAATCGCCGACGTCGTTTACAGTTTTAAACATGTCGTTTGCTTACTGAGTGCAGCACGTGGGTCCTCCTCAGGCCGTCTAGGGCCACTTGGGGAGCCCTTGGAGCCGTCTTTGGGCCAGCCTGGGCCGTCTTGGAGGGGCGCTGCTTCGGCGCAAGGGTTGGCGGGAAGCTGTTGGCAGGGACCAGTGGTGTTTCGGAGCTTCCCCATCTGGGAGGGGGGGGCGCCAGCGGATGGGGGGGTAGATCCCACGGACCTTTTTACCGTAGCACCCTGCAGTTGCGGACAAGAATGAGGGGGCGGCGGGGACGTCGGCAGTCTGCCAGGCTCTGAAAAAAGCTCGCCGCAGGCGCCTTAGTTTCAAACATTATGCAACGAGACCGCCGCAGGCGATTATTTTTTTTGTAAAGCAATGTGAGTGGGTTGCGGGTGGGTCGCGGGTGGGTCGCGGGCCAGGTCGCGGGTGGGTCGCGGGTGGGTGGCGGGTAGGTCGCGGGCTGGTCGCGGGTAGGTCGCGGGTGGGTCGCGGGCGGGTCGCGGGTGGGTCGCGGGCGGGTCGCGGGTGGGTCGCGGGTGGGTCGCAGGTGGGTCGCGAGCCCGGTCGCGGGTGGGTCGCGGACTGGGTCGCGGGTGGGTCGCGGACGCCGAGAGCGCGGACACCACCCAGGGAGAGCAGCGGGCCGTGGGGGGCTGTGCATCGCTCGGACGTGGGCGTTTTTTTGTTCTCGGCGAGGACCATCGAAGAGCATCCTGGGTCATCGACCAACCAGAAAACACTCGCGAAACCGAAACATGCACGGGAAATGAACGTCCAAGCGACGACAGGGGGGAGGGGATTGGGCCACGGGGCGGGAGCACACACACACACTTGCCGCTGCAAGCGCGGTGGCGGGTTCATACAGGAGACATTTAAAGTTGCAAGCACCGATGACAACATCATGGTCAGGATGAAAATGAGAGCCGCCAATATGCACAAAAGCAAGATGGAGCAGCTCTTCCGGTGTATGGACGCAGACGGTGACAAGCGGATCCAGAAGCACGAGTTTCAACACGTTATGAAGGACAATCACATCCGCACTTGGCTGTCCTCCATGGACATGGACCCCGGCGATGCGGACATAATGTTCGATCTGCTGAGAGGCGACGACGACCTGATTAGCGTTGAGGAGCTGATCACGGGAATCGGCCGCCTGAGGGGCCCCGCGCGATCCATAGACATGCGCAGATTGTTGGCGAAGTTGGAGGAGCAGCGCGGCACGGACGCGAATACTCAATTCCCGCATTTAGGGGTTGCGGCAGTGTGAGGACGTTTTGGGCTGAGGCGGAGGAGGAGGCGGAGGATGAGGAGGAGGAGGAGGAGGAGGAGGAGGAGGAGGCGGACCTCTCCCTTTTCCGAGGTTATCATCTACGTGTCCGTTACCTTCTCTTATTGTTTTACCCATTATGGCGGCGGGCGTCGCTCAACAAAAAACACCGCCATTCAGCGCCACTCAGCCACCCAGCGCCACCCAGCGCCAATCCGCGTCAGTTGTGCTCAGTGGCGCTGGGTGGTGCTGAATGGTGCTGACATGACGGCGACTGTCGCGCCGCGTTGAGTGGCGCTGAATGTGTGGTCCGCGGCGTTCGAATGGCGCTGGCTTGCGTCAAGTGGTGTTGAGCGGCGCTGTTGATGCGTCGTAAATGGCGCTACATGGCGTTGAGTAGCACCGAGTGGCGCTGAGTGGTGGCGCCGTGCGGTGGCGCTTGTGTGGCGCAAGACGGTGCTGATTGTCGTTGAGTGGCGCTGAGTGGCGCTGAAAGAAGGAGCAGGAGGAGGAGGAGGAGGAGGAGGAGGAAGAGGAGCAGACCGGCTGACTGACCGACACACGGCTGTTGAACAATGATGGATTGAAGGGCTCTCTCATTTGTTTTATCTCCACATGCTCACGTTATGCTGGCTGGGAGCCGACGGCCCGCGCGCAGCCCCAGTCGAGCCCCTGAGAGCCGACGGTCCCGCGCACGACCCCGGCCGACCCCCAGTGGAACCGACGGTCCCGCGCGCAGTCCCAGCCGACCCCCCTGTGGAACCGACGGCCCGCGCGAAGTCCCAGCCGACCCTTTGTTACACGTGCCGACGTGCGAGGAAAAAGGGCGAGCGCAGGGACCGAGGCGGAGCCCCGCCGACGAGGGGACCGAATGAGGCCCGAAAGCACCACCGACGAGGGCCGAGGGCCACGAGCGGGAGGCGAGAGAGAGAGAGAGAGAGAGACGAAAGGAGGAACGAGACGGGCCATACAAAATCTGCAAAACATTGATCACATGTTCGCCGTCCCCACCCTGGAGGTGGTTCACCTTTTGCCAGGTGCGCGAGGCCGCGCTGCCCGAAGCTCGATGGCCTCGAGCGCAGTGCTGCGCGCACGTCCGAAGGTCTCAACCACTAGCCGCATCAGTGTCAGCAGCAGGAGATCGGTCCAATCAGCTGTCACTGTAGGAGCTGAAGCCGTTGTATCGTCGGTGATACCACATCCGCATTGTCGGCAGCGTTGAGGGCGTCCAACTCCGCCGCTAGCCCTTTAGGGCATCGATCCACGTCGAAATCTCCTCCTCCTCCATGTAGCCCGAGGGGGGCCATTCCCTCCGTCACCTGAGTGCCCATCGCGCGGAAGTTCTCGAGGATCTGCATCCCCTTGGTTTTGTCGCCCAGGGCGAACACAACTTTGGTCATGTCCTCTTGCTCGCAGTTCTCCGAGCGGCAAAGACGGACATCTCGAGGCGGCTCGTCCACCATGTCCGTCGTGACGCTCTCCAGGTATTCCCGATTCACGCGGCCAATCTCCTGCTTGGCTAACTCTTCGACCATCGAGGCGAAGACCGCTGGCGCTGGGGGTCCCAGTGTCCTGGGCTGGCCTGAGCTCGTCGGCGTCCTCGTTGGACTTCTTCTCGAGGGCGCTGTCGGAGCCCTTGGCCTTCTTCGCTGTCTCCTTGAAGGTAGAGACCTGCTTGCGGAGGCCCGCCGCGAAATCCTTCGAAACGGCCTGCGTCGACTCGACGATCGCGTTATTCTCGAGGAGCACCGCGCGTGTAGCCATGCCCACAAGGCGCGGGGCCCCTGGGTGAGCTGGGCGACCTGCGTGGACAGGAGCAGCAGCAGCTCCTCGAGGCCGTTGTCTTTCGCCTGTAGCTCGCGCTCCTTGGCAGCCGCCTTGCGACGACCGCAACGACGGACCCTGGGTTGATTGCCCGCCCCCTCCGCCCCGTCGGAGCCCCTCAGGACGCCCCCGCCGTCCTCGCTCTGGCTCTTCTTGCGGTCCCCCCTCTTGTCCGCGCCTCCGCTGGACCCGACTCCACCAGGCTGCGACGGGGCTGAGGAGCCCGCCCCTGGGCGCCACTGGCTCTTCTTCTCCTCGGTCTCCATCTCGAGTTGGCGCAGGTCGTCGCGGCGCCGGCGGGGCGGCAGCGGATCGTATATCACTGGCCCGAAGTCGCGGTCCAGGAGATGGGGGTGCCGATCGTCTCGCAGCCCTCGGCCGTGGAGATGGCGGCACTGGTCTCGGTGCAACGACTGAGATGGAGCGGCCCTCCTGCGTCGGCGGCAGGCGCGAGCGCGGGCGGCTGCCAAGGGGCTCGCACGATGCAGAGGAGGACCTGCACAGCGCGCACTCTTTCATTACTGGCTCGACGAACTTGCACGGGCATGCCGCGTTGTGCATAGTGGATCTCCCTGAATGCCACGATCGCGCCAAGTGCCTTGTCGTCTCCGTGTGTGTCTGAAATGCTGCGCCACGCTTTATGCATCCAATAATTGGCGCAAGCGTGCGAAAGATTATTTGTCCCCCGCGCCCTGGTAGTCGCGACTGGCATGCACGCGCATCAAGTGCAGCGCGGGCCGAACGTTTGCCCACGCATCGGTCCGTCGGGCTCGGCGCGAATCGAACGCGCGGAGACATCAGCCTCAACCTTTTTTCCCACGACTGCTCATCGGCCTGAGTGGCGCGTGCGCAATCTGCAACCTACTCTGGCGGGCGCCATGCGGCGGCAAAGGCGCTGCGCAGGCACTTCGGGTCAGAAGAGGTGATGGGATGGTTCGCCTCCCCATCCCACAGCAAGTCCACCATAGCACCGCGTCTCCACACCTCTGCGAAAGACTCGGCCTCCGGGCAGCTGCACATGACCTCCAGATCTCGTCGCAGTTGACGGGCCCAAGGATGAATCGCATAATCTCCATTCAGTTTTCCAGCAAGCGCAGTGGGAGGGCTCCGACATTCACTCGTTGCTTCCAGCTTCATCTCGCCGAAAGAATCCATGTATATATATATGTATATGTGCGCAAAGTTTGCGCTGTTATGAGGCTCGCGCGCGACTGCCTGCCAAGCGCGAAGTCGTTGGATCGTCGCCTCCAGAGCAGAAGGGATCAAGTTCCAGTAGCGGTAAACGTCACGCGTGGCCTTTGCTGTGACGCGGTTGTTCTCGATGCTTGCCGCGCCGCCCATCGCGGAGCGGAGTTTCTTAGCGAGCGATCCACGCGGCTGCCTCGTCTCACCGAGGAAATGAACATCAGCCGCTCGACACGGAAGGGCGCCTTCGCGCACCAGGAACCTTGCGCCATCATCCAGCATTTGTTGACCGCTTGGGGCCTGGCTTTAAGTTCGTTGCTGCCGCCATTGGCCGCGGTGAACCAAGCCCCGTCTGCACCCACTGGCGTTGAAAGCACGAATGGCCTGATGCGCCATTTGGCGAGACCGAAGGGCGGGTGCAACATCCTGCTTGGACCTGTTCTGCGAATGGGCTCGGGTTGCGAGTTCTTGGTCGGAGCCGAGGCCGCTCCTCTGGGACTGAGCCACAATATCTCGAGCTGTCTTGGCCCCTGGTGCGACGAGCAGCGTTTTGAATACATCGCCCATGAAGGCCCCCATGCTAGCGTCGATCAGCGGGTGCCTGTCGAATTCGACGAGCACCGCACCTTCATACTCGTTCTTCTCAAACTCGGCCCACTTTGAACAGCAGTGTGATAGTTCTGCATGAATGCCTCAGGCTCGGACGCGTCGCCCATGAATTCTCCCGCGCCGCTCCGGACTGCTGCTTCGCGATCCGCGCCTGGGATGATGACCGCCAGGTCGCGCCCCCGCTGGAACGCGATGCCCGCGACGTAGTCCATGCCCCCATCGTCGACCTTCTCGGAATCCACCGGGCGCGTGTAGACGCCCTGCTCGAGCTGGCACTTGCTACCGCTGCCGAGAGCGTTCGTCGCGTCGTAGCTCTCATGCAGAGTCGGCTGGCCTGCTCGGGCGCCCTTCCACGCCGCGACCCCGGTCGTCGCCATCAGGCGCTCTCTTCGCCTGCCACGGGCTGCGAAAGCCCAGCGGGGAGATAGAAGAAAAAAAAAAAAAAAAAAAAAAAAAAAAAAAAAAAAAAAAAAAAAAAAAAAAAAAAAAAAAAAAAAAAAAAAAAACTCCGCGCGAGAGGCCGCCTCGAAAGACCGCCCGCCACCAGTAGCACATGACATGCATGAGGCGTCGCCCCTCAGCCCCTGCTTTCCGTTCTTCTTGCGAGGGGCGACTCCCAGGGACAGAGAGGCTTGGGCTGGGAGTTGACGCGCTCGCCGAACACGAAGGCAAAGTCGGAATGACCGACGCCGAGGTTCTCCATATTGTTCGAGATGCTTGAGTCGTCGCCTGTCTCGCTGGACTGGGTCTCGATTTTCTTCAGCACATGCAAGTCCTGGTCGGGGGCCCAGGCCAGCAGTCTGCTGTGCGTGCACGTCAGGTCGACTGATCCAAGACGGGTCCAGGGTAGTTTTGAGTATTTCCGATGGGGTTGACCACGATGGGGCGCAGTTCACAATCTTCGATCATCGGAGCGCCTTCAGCGTCATCGCGAAATCCTTCTGGCCTCGCTTCATGCCCTCCTGCGATATATATCATAATTTTCTGGGTGAGCACTGTCGTCGGTGTTCCGCAGCGCCGCGTAGTACACGTCAGTCAGGTTGTGGCAGAACGGGATCCGAACGGAAGTACCTTGGAGTCCTCCAGCTGCTTGACGTCGGGCCAAGAACTTTATCCATTCGCCAGAACTTGGGCAGCATGCCGTATGGGCCCGATAGTCACGATTCTTCACTCCGATTCTTGTGCGAGCCAAGCTTCGAGCAATTCTAGGCGCTGCTGCCATGTCAAGGCGGTTCCAAGCTTGGAGGAGTTCCGCTTCCGTGAAGGCCTGACGTTCACGATCCCGTCGAAGACGAAGAGATTGGAGGGCTTTGCTGCAACTCTTGATCGCCAGGCCAAGAGCGGCCACCTCAGGAAAAGGATCAGCGTGTTCAACGTCACTGGCAGCGACTTCTTGCTGAAGTGAGCGTCGCCGCCTAAGAAGGCCCCACTTGTGCTCGCCCAACTTGCGCTCGCATTCTGGCTTCGCCACCGCCAAGGACAAGTGCTGCAAGCCCACGCGCCTGATGGTCTCGATCGCCAACGCCGCGTGGCCCGTCGTCACCCCCCTCGACTCGAGAATGTCTAAGGACATTCTGATCGTCTCCATCTCATTGAAGGTGTTGAAGGAAAGGCATGCCACCTGCGTCGTGCAGCACCGCTCCTGCAAGTTGTTGCCGGTCTCATCGTTCACGAAGTGGTTGTTGGCTCACTGCTGCTACGATCTGCAGCTTGGTGACCACTGGGACGTGGTCGAGCGCAGCTGCCATGGCCCTCGTCTTCTCGACTGTGCGTCTCCAAGCCGCTGTCCACTTAACCAGGCCTCGAGCACTCTGAGGGATACAAATGTAATCGATCTGCGAGGAGGCGCACTTCATGCCGTAGTAAATGTCGCCGACGCCCCAGGATGTGTTCACAGCCATCATCTTTGCGACGGTCAGCCACTCGTGGACCAATTTTCCACAAGCTCTCCGATGTGGCCCATGTGCTTCCACGACGGGGTCGTCTGCATGATGAGGGGTGAGGCCAGAGTTGAGATCCAAAAGCAGCACGGAAATGTACCGTTGCGGCACGCGTAGCATGTCCAGTTTCGCCCAGTCTGTCAGCCGCTTGCACGTGTCTTCCCATGCCGGCGCCTCTTCCTTGGCCGCAGTATATATATATATAGAGAGAGAGAGAGAGAGAGAGAGAGAGAGAGAGAGAGAGAGAGAGAGAGAGAGAGAGAGAGAGAGAGAGAGAGAAAAAGAGAGAGAGAGAGAGAGAGAGAGAGAGAGAGATGCACATACATATCCCGGGGGGGACGAGGGCAGGGGCCCTGGCCCGGCGACCTCGACGGGGCATGGGGGGCCCACCGCCTCCGGAACAGCTCCGAGCCGGCCCCAGACGGGCCCGAAATGGGCCAAGAACGCCCCAAGAGGCCCCCAAGACAGCCCCAGACAGCCCAAAGACGACGAAAGATCGTCCAACGACGCCCAAGATGGGCCCAAGACAGCCCAAGACGCTCCCAAGACGCCCCACGACGCTTCCAAGAGACCCCCCCAGAGCGCCTCAAGAGGCTGAAATCGTCAATGTTACAAAGGTTTTGGAATGATTGCGAAGGCCTTACGGCCGGTGCCGCCGACCCTGAAGGGAGACGAGAACGACGACGACGACGACGACGACGACGACGACGACGACAACGGCGGCGGCGGCAACGACGACGACGCTGACGTGCGCCAGAATCCTCAGGGCTAGTTCTTGGGATCTTCGGAAGTCTCTCGGGGGCCTCTGGGCAGGAATATGTAGGAATTGTGGGGCCTCTTGGGAGACTCTTGGGGGCCTCTTGGGAGCCTCCTGGGGGCCTCTGCTTCCTGGGGACCTCTTGTGGGCCTCTTGAGTCTGCTGACCAGTGGCTATCTGTGTGGGAGCTTTCAGGACCAGAAGGCGGCATGGGTGTTTTTGAATGTGACTGGGACTCCCTGCGTGCGGATCGAGAGGGCCACTATCAATGGTTACCAGACGCAGAACTGTTTGAACGAGCTATTGACGATTACAGCGCCATCCTCCGTCATCTTATTTACTCTAAGAAGCGCAAGGCCGTGCCTGAGCACACAGCGCCGCTGGAGCTGCGGCACATGCTTTTCTTGCCGAAGCCACGGCCAGCGCTCCAACAGACACTCGGCTCGGGTAGTGACCCTGCTCCGCCGAGTACCCTCAATTTCGATGTTTACTTCAATGTTGGCTTGGCCAAGATCCGCATGCACGAACATACCCCTTTGTACTGGCACAAAGGCGAAGCGTGTGGATTACGCAAGTCGGCCCTCCCTGGGCCTAAAGGACGTAGAGTGGTACATCTTCTGGCGGTCTTGGGGAAGGGCTACTTCCGTAAAAAGCTTTCGATTTCTCCCGCAATCATGGATTATGGTTTCGTGAAGGGCAGGAGGAGGGAGGAGGCAGTCTTGCGTTCACGGCCGATGAGTCGACGACTACGGAAGGGGGTCTTACTCAGGCAGCT